TATATATACATATATATACTTATTTATTATTATTAAGTACTTATTTATGGGATATTGTGTTATATATGTATACAAGTATAAATGAAAGAAAAAAAAATTACTGTCAACGAACAATATTCCGATGAATATTAAGTTTTATCAAATACAAACTATCGAGTTGAAATTGAAACACCGGCCTCAAGACAGCAGCAATGAACTTTTTGGTATCTAAACTTATTTTAGCATAATGATATTAATAAATTTTTACCTGCATATTGCTATCTCATGTATTACGACGTCGCAAAATAATCCTGATTGTGAAATCGATTTTTTACTAGAATTAACTACATGTCCGGCAAAGAGTGTTATTTAATAATGCTAGTTTAAAATAAAACGATTCTAAATTAAATGGCACAATAATCTTAGAAATATTTTTATCTAAGAGTATTATTTGATATTCGTTTGCCCCAATTGCAGCTTTAGCCCCGAATTAGTCGTGTCTTTTAGTCAGCATTTGATATTTAACTGATATTGAGTTTCGCGCGAGTATAAACTGTATCGTTCAAGTTTGACCAAGCTCGTTGCCAATCGCCAACGCCTTTGCCACAACGTTTGGCACGCTAGAGAGTATTATCGATGTACGAGTCGCGTGCATTTAGTAACGAAGACGTCTGTATGCACGATCTGTGATTGTATAAACGCCGTTTCATTATGTGCAATCGAGCGAGTGAGTGAGTGAGTGACAGTGAGAAAGAGGGAGAGAAAGAAAGAAAGAGAGAGTATTCGTTTCTAGTATATACGTGCATGTACTACATCCTTGTTTCATCTCACCAAGTATCTTATAATAATTAACATTAGTCGATAGAGTCCGACGGTTTCAGTCGAACAAGCTCAAACTCGATTCAGGAAGTAAGTTGCGCGGTTTAGCGTATATATGCCGTACAATGCGGCGCGCGAAATAAAGATTCATCCATTAATCATCATGCGATACCCGGAATCGCTTTTGGACCGTTTCAGCTGCGTAAGGATTGACGACATCATCGTCGTTCATCGATAATGAACATCGCCGCTGAACTGTCATACTACAAAAGTGTATGTTAACAAAATATATTCCCAAACCGCACACATACTTGTGAGATTATGAGTTGTTAACATATGATAATTGAATCTCATGATACCACGTAATATAGGTAAATGTGTGCATTGTATCCGATAGCTCTTGTAGTCCCACAGATACACGCTCATCTCTCTACGTAATAAGCGACTCCATATGCATATAGAGTTTCACTTGAGAAGCGTTAAAGCCGCACGGGCACTCGTTTTTCGTCAGAATGAAAAAAAAAGGGTGAAAGAGAAGATCCGTCGTTGTAGCATAATCTCACCGGGTAATAGCTTTCGCCACACTAATGCGTTCATATATATTTCTAGACGTTTAAATACAATATTTTAACGCCATCGGCGGTTGAAATATTGCATGTAGAAATTTGTAAGTATCATACTTCCGACAGGTAATTGAAATTCTTTACCGAAACAGTTCACAGCATCTAATAGCCTATTTTTATAAACGAGCAATAGTTTTTACGGATAGCTCCTCGAGACCTTTCTTGGCATCGATTCTTTCGAACACGCATCAAGAATGACATAAATACAAACCTGGAATTCAGACTGCTGCCACTTTCAGTGCATCTTGATTCATAGAACACACAGTAAATAGATGAACAGTGGTTGGCGATTTTATATTTAGGACGCGAAAATACGTGTAAATGTATGCAGTGCGGTCCTCTCTTCAGTCTCTTGTCTTCTCAACAGCCGCAACAGAAAGCTATCACAGTGGCAGGGTTTGAATGGTGACTTTTGATAATTTACCGTAACGCGAGAAAAGAGAAAAGGATACCCTTGCACGCGCACTGCGATTCGATCGGATGATGAAAAGGGCGGATGAACTATATCATTGTAACTTTATATATGTGCGACTTCGTATATATCTATGTAAATAAATATACCAAGCTCTTGAGACTGACACGTCGTTTACCCTCCCTTTTCCTTCTCGGGTCGTAAAGTGCAACGGTGAACGGCAATGAATGCATGACCGGTGTTTGTTAATAATTTATTAATGGCATAGTACCCATACAACATCCTTAATATTGACAATCATCACAAATAACGTGTAAAGTGGGTGTATACCGCGTACAAAAGACGCAAAATGTCGATAAAGTTTTTCCTTTCGGTTTTTTTTCTACGATATTTTCTCTCCGCGATGTCCCGATCTAATGATCGTCGGGACCGAATCGCGATCAAATCAGATATGTAGGAATTGTTCCTTTAATCGAGTGTGTTGTAAAAAATGTACAAGCGGTAGCGTTAATAGTGGATTGTGTCGATTGCAGCGCGCGTTCTGAGACTTCCGCAAGCACGTTTCACTCATTTAGCGCTACTATTGTACACACAAAAAAATTAATCGTACGATTAATTGATTTGATTGATTGACTTGATTTCATTCTCCTTTCAGAATTTGCATTTTAAAAGGATAACAATTTTTAATCTAATTTGTTTGTAAAATTATGAAAGAATTCAAATATCAACGCATCTTGATATCACAAAATTCTTTTAAACAATTCATTAAATAACGCTGTTTTTTACTGGATCAGACTTAAAACGTTCGCAACGTTATCTAAACCCATGATCGTAATAATGGACGATTGTATAGAGATGCTTTTCAGTTCTACGTGAAAGAGGAGAAGGCTCTTTGTTCGCGCAATCCACTATTACGCGACGGTACCCACCGTCGTAACACGTCGATTTAAAATACGAAGGACAATTTGCCCTCTATACTACTACGGTACGTTGATACGGCTTGGTCGAACGGTCGATCGATCGGACTTTGCGATTTTCGAAAGTAGCTCGTTTACTTTTAAGATCACGCTACAATTTACAGCCATCGCGATTCGCAGCGAACATAAACCACCGTGACTCCTGTAGTTTAACTTTACGAGAAAAAAATTCTTTTCTTTTTGTTTACAACCGCAAACTGAATCCGATCCTAGTATTTTTTTTTGCCGCCTTGCTACTTTTAGCCTGTTCCGTTATACAGCTTTGGTTACAAATAGAATCGAAAATCGCCGATTGCGTTAAAAATACGGGATCTAAAACGAAGGTAACTTCATTTAACAAATTAAAGTAGGATAAAAATAATATTTTGCATCGGGATGTACTCTAATTAAGAATGTATAAAGAGATTATACTCTGTGTAATAAATAATCGCGAAATGCAGATGAAATGAAAGCATTATCGAATATCGAGACGAGACACTGATGCGTATAGTTCAAGGAAATGACTTCGGAATTAACATTTCGTCTTCCATCTCGTTCACATATAGTAAGCTTATTATACTTTTTTTTTTGGTATGGATTTGACGATCGGTGGCCTGCGCACAAATATATGCATATCAAACATCAATTACACAGGTAACGCGAGGTGAGACTGTGTCCTTAAAGTAAGCGGAGTATTAGACAATTATTGCGTGAATCAGTGAGCGAGTGGTCCGCACTGGGTGGCCCGACCCGGGTACGAGTGATATCGCGCGAGCAAGAAACACCTTGTTTTTTTGATCTATCGCTACGAGAAACTATACCGCCGTCACGCCGAAGGTATGGGCGACACGCCGCTCGCCGTGAAACGAAGTGCAACGAAGCGCGCGTGTTCGATGGACGCGTCCCGCCCCTCGACGATCGATCGCGATCGCGAGAACCGTCGATTATCCTGCCGGCGATCGGACCGCGTAATCGACTTCGTGTGAAATTTCACTCTTGAAGAATCAAAGCCGCCTGGCGTCCAACGCCTTGTTGAGGTCACTGACTAGCATACCGAGGACGGGTCTGTGCTCGGAGTCGTATCGGAACACCGAGTCCAAGAATTTGGGATACACCAGGAAGTCGAACACCTGGTCGCAACGCTGCGACGATTTGTCCGTGAGATGCGGCTTTATCAGCTCCAGCAGCAGCGACCGGCAACGTTCCAGCGAGCCTATCAGATACTCCTGGTCGTAACTGTAATCCACCTCGTAGAACGAGACGACGGTCATCGCCACCGTCCCCAGAGCCTCCCGGATCTCCTCGAGCTTCTCGGCCTCGCTCGGACGGAATTGATGACTGCGCTGGACGAGTCCGATCTGTGCAAGCCGCGTTTTATGAGTTAATTTACACAGCTAATATTAGCTTAATAGTAATTTATGCTGTATAAATTAATATAAAATTAATTACGCAGTTAATTATAGCATATTATGATGCGGGCGATAATTTTGGTTATTCTGAAATATTTAACAATGATGTTATTTTGGTTCCAAAAAATATTAACTTTCCGCGCGATCAAAATAATTTCAAGAGAAAAAAATCTTTTCGTCAAATAAATACATTACACTCAAAAAAATATTTCGCTGATGTAGTTAGATTTCTAGATATCGCAACAAGAATGTATCGCTATTTTTCGTATCTGTGAAAACATTGTTTGTCACATATAGAATTTATAGCAGTAATGTTCTAGCAATAACTTCTGAAAAATTTAGGTACCATTGCTAAATGTTATTTATTGCATGATCTAACACGTGATTGATCTTATATAGATAGGCGCTTTAGAGAAACTTTCTTTTTAAAGTTCACAAACAATACAGATATATATTCTGTTTCTGTCATCTAAACTGATTAAGTAATTACATATGCAATATCACAACAGTTGCTAATCATTTATCTGTTTTAGTTAATTTTTTACACCTAGAAAATTTTTGCTATTATTGCAAAATCATTTTTTTGAGTGTGACGGACAATTCGCAAGATTTTCTTTTTCTTTTTGTATTTAGATTCGAATTAAAACCAAAGTTTATATTGATGAGACACACTCTGCATACCTTAATAGACAATTTGACGATATTCTTGAGGACCTTCTCTGGTTCTTTTTTGTCCAAGTGCGGGTTGCTCTTGGCGATGTTGTCCATCAGCTTGTACAGATTGTCGAGCAACGACGCCGTCGCGTCGTCGATGAATAGCGACCGGCCGGCACCGGTGGCCACTATGCGACCCAGAAGCTTCTTCTGGGCACGTAATCCTAAATCACGGGTGCGACTTCCGGTCCCACCGCCGCCGCCGGGATACGATCCGCCGCCGCCACCTCCGATTGTGTTCGCCGACTGCATCACTGCAATATTTTTGCACAGTGAACGACCACCGTCGCTCATGCATTGTGCACACTGGCCCGCATTCTCGCTTTTGTTTAGTGGCAAATGCGACCGTGCGATCCCGAGTTTTGCCCGTCCGACAGAAAAGTTGCGTTCGACGCGAACTTTTGACCGTAAATAACGAGAATGCGAGTCTCTGCTGCGAAATGTAATCATAATATGACGTAGTGAAAATACGATTTTTCTAAAAACTCAACTTTCATTGATTTAACATAAATCTTATATTATAAATTATATTTTAAATAAGTGTGATGTCAAACATAATCACGTGCAACACGCGCGCGCGCGCGAATACACATAGCATTCAACGCCAAGGCGCGATGGAAAGAGCGGATCATTCACTTCTTCCTCAAATCTGAACGTTTTACGTGATCCATTGTAAACGAAGGAACAAAAGAATTGCGCCTTTAAATATGGAACAATGGGTGATAGAAAGTACGACGACTTGACGAAACCTCGTAATTTCGAGCGTCCTGAGAAAGGACGTCCCGCGTCTCATTATCTCGATCGAGGCTGCCGGCGATCTCGAACGTGCATATACTTATCTCTGTGCGTGCTTCGTACGACGAACTCACCGTCAAACATCGGTAGACCACCGTTTCCTCCGGAGTGTGATAGCGGGGTGGGAAATTAAATAAAAAAGCGGCGAACAACACTGTGTGCGTGATGATGAGTGATGGTCCGGTAAACTCAGGCAAACGCAACTAAAATAACCAAGGATTAAACGGCGAGTCGTTAACGTAACATAAATGTCGTGGGTTCATGGAAGCGTGTACGACACGACGAACGACGGTGCCTTCTCTGTACCTTGATTGCAGTCGGTGACGGCCACTAAATGGTAGAGCAACCAGCTCTGCAATTCCATCACTGCCGTGCCCCACGCCACCTGAAACAATTATGCGGGAAAATGAGAGAAACATATCGCCAAATATTTGAGAAGGTAAAATAATAATCCAGCCAAGAATCCAGTGCGAAGAAAATTGCGTTGAATTCCCGCGAAATTACAAAGGACCTTGTCACAATTTTTATTGATCAAATTTGCCTCGTAGATTAATTAGAACGATATGATGAATAATAAAAATATTTCATAAATTAGTTTCCAGGTAATTAATTTATATTGCAAGTGGCAATATTAAAACTCTGCATTTTTTCGAAAAGCGTTAGTTTTACAATAAAATTCACTGTAGACGATTTATAATTCATGACAGAATGAAAGCTGAACTTTTACTTGTAATTATATGCGTCGTGCGATGCAGAAAATTTTTTAAAATATTAGAATGTACACATATATACAAAATATAATGTCAGTGATATGTCCTTTCATCTCTCAAATATTATTATTACATAAAATTATTCATAAATTTCTATCTCAAGTTCCGTCGCGAATTAAAAATTATAAAAGCGAGCTTAAGGATAAATGTCATATAAATTTCTTTTAATTAAATTTTCTATGGAATATTTCGTAAATAATGATATAAATATAATGAGCCGATGTCGGAAGCAGAAGAATGAATTCTCAGAGAATTTTTTCATATAATTTCATAACGGTTTGTTATCGCGAAGACGAAGGATTTCTACGTACGCCCGAAATACATTCAGCGAATTCTGATTCATTACCGATTTCTTCGAAACACAAAGCCGCAGTCAAGATAAAGTTAATTATACTCCGCTGCTTGAGTCAAGAGCGCTGTCGAGGATGTGAATAAATTCGTTCCTAATTCCGCGAATTCATTCATAATAAAAGAACCGTAGAATCCGCAAAATGAAGATTTCCCCGAGTGGCGAGATAAGAGAAGTTTCGCGAAAATTCACTTTTCCCGTCACATGTATTTATTCGGGAAAAGTATCCTTCGCGTTTACCTCGTGGTTCGTAAATATTATCATAAATATCACTCACAGCCTTTTACAGAGCTATTAGCCTTGACACCGATAGTAAGCACCTTCGACAAAAAAACAACTTCTATTTACTATCTTTGTCGTGCAAAATCATGGAATATTACTTTAAATATATTACAAATCTTTCGGAGTATAGAAAAATATTTTTTTAAATCATTAAAATCTCTTGCATTTTAAACTCACACAACTTTCACGCACTCGGATTTGTGTCGAAAGGCGTAAACGAGAAAAAGAGAGAGAGAGCGAGAGAGAGTCTCTCCCTTATTCGTACAATTCGTCTTAACGAGTGCGAACGATCCTAATGTTGGAAATGAAATGTAATGCGAGCCAACGACATCCGTGTCGCATGCTATCATTCACGTGTACACACATGTACACACATACACATCCTTATGAGCAGCGCGCAGTATAAGGCACTACCTTTGGCAGTTGGATCGATTTGTAAGGAGCGTCAAGGCGAGCCAGAGACTCTCATTCACCTTTGCACAGCCGGCCGAACAGCGAGCAGTTGATTAAAATTCAGTTGATTTGTGTTAAACCGGCTTGCCAAAAATTTGGAAGAGAGAGAATGCGCAATAAACAAAATTCATGTAATGCCACGGAAGAAAATTTGATAAATATCTTTGGAAAACATGAAAACAGAAAAACAAAATGAAAAATTGAGAGGCTCAAAGAATACAGTACAAGTGATACACAACGGGAACCAAAAATAAATTTTTTATCGCAGAAAATATGCGTCTGTTACAATATTTAATTTTTCACAAGCGACATTCGTGAAACTCACGATCGAAATATTTATAACACGATCACAATCTCGCCGCAGTATCTGTCTGTGAAACCCGCGGTCGAAATATTTTTTAAATCTTGAATGAATAATAAAATTAGCTCGATTTTATTTGTTTTTCAGCCTCTGTTCTCGATAAAATTTTGATTCCGCTCCTCTCTCGAATATTTTTGTAGAAAATCACGACAGTATTAACACACCGGATTCTTTTATCATTTAAATCCTATTTTTAGCGATGAAACCTGCAGTCGAAATATTATTCACAACATTATTATGATCCCCGAATGTCTCTGTGCGAAATCCCGCAAAAAATATCTTTCAAATCGTGAAAAATAAAAATAGTTTAATATTATTTTTTTTTCCCACCGGCTTTTCGATTCCGTTTCTCTTCTGGATATTTTCGCGGTAAACCACGACAATAATAAATTGGATTCCTTTATTATTTTCAATGACAATCAACGCAAGATGTGCCTTAACGAGAATGATAACACGAATAAGACAGAAGTGCAAAAATACTCGTGTGAACGAAAGAATTAAGAGAGAACAGCGAGAAAGGAATATTATGATTCCACCTTTCTTCCGCTCTTATTAAAATAATATCGTTTGTTTGCTTCCGCTCGTTAGGTGGTCCGTTTGCGGAATTGCAATCCCGCTGCTCTTCAATCGTAATCCCGCCGGCGGCGGAATCGCAGGGGTGACATCGAGTGCGAGCCGCGTTATGAATGATCGATCGCCGTACACTTTCGCTCTCTCTTTCTCCTCTCCACAATCATCCGGGTTTCACCTAGACGCCCACGTCGGCGCTTTCGGGCACCTGTGTGTTGTCGCGTTGCGGATGCAAACACCGCCGACCGCCCGATGCTCGTTCGTCGAACTGCGCAATTCTCCACGCGAAAATGCGCGACGAGTTTTTCCCATGCAAAAACGTCGAAGTTTACGCGCGTCGCGAATTATTCACACGTCGAGATATATGTTTCCCCCCCCCCCCCCGAAAAATCCGTAAGGTATACACCCTCTAAATTCTTAATAAGAAATAAAGGTGACAAAAATATTTCAGAGATTTTTTCTCCGGAGAGAAAAAAAGAGTAATATCGACGCCGAAATTCTCGCTTCAATTTTTCAAAAGGGAAAAAATATCGTTTATAAAGATTTCATAAACGGATTTCAAGCTCGTCGAAAAACATCCTCGTCATTCTTTTTCCTTTTAATCGCCGACAGCGATCACAGGCAAAAAACTTGTCTCTCTGCGCGCGCGGACGATCCGGTTGTTCCGCGATACGGAATAATTGGCCGGAATAAACTAGAATCTCTCTTTAGGTGGCTATTTCCTCGCCGCATGCATCTTTCAAGACTGTCCATCAGGTGGCTTGTCTTCGGAATATTCGATCGGCTAGCTATAAATAAGCACGTGTATTCCGCCTGCTTGATTCGATTTACCTTCTCTCCGCTACAATCAAGTCAGATTCGATATATACAGGAGCTTTCCGCGAAACGCCAGTCCTTGCACGAGAATCCTAGCTACTTCGCGGAAACCGGTTAGATGTGACTCGGATCTTCACGTGATATTCCACACATCGCGAAACGGCTCTTTACTCAGCGTTTTTAAAGCATCGCGCATCGCAGACGAGTTTCTGTATTCTTTTTAACCAATCTGGAATTCGAAACTGTTCCACGTTACTTCGCAAAGCGGATTTATTTCATTTATCGCGAGACGAAGAATTAACCGAACTCCGTGATTTTTCGTGAAACTTCCCCAAGCGCGCAAAATTTTCATCTGAAAGTAAAGCTCGTTAGCTGCTTTAATTATAAATCATAATTATAATAATAACGTGTCTGTAGGTGCATGTATATCATAAATTTATTTACAGGCGACTCGTAACTTTGAAAATTATGAAAAGATCGCGAAAGAGACTTGCGTGTATTTGCGACAACGGAAGCGCGCCGATCGCTACTGAATACACTTCCTCGTGTTCACGCAGCATCGAATAATTGTGCTCACTGAAATTACGGTGGTTTCCAAGCACACGGCAATATTGGCACTCAATGAACTCCACGCGACTCGTCGCGAAACAATGCCGCCGTAAACTACTAGCCGGTGCACGGACAAACGTAATTATCGGTTCCCCGTACAAGCGCGTGTGCAAGCGCACCGAATGTCGACGGTTCGATACCGTTTTCTCGCATCCTCCACGTAGGGCAAGGTTTAACGTTTACGTCAGTGTCGGGTTAGATGACATTTTGCGTCATTACACGTGTTACTTCCCGTAAAGGCGCGGACCCTCTCGCAAACCGAGTGATACAAAAAGGCTCGTTCGTAAATTATTTCGCTCGCCGACGTTACGCGTCACTAAATTGCTCGCGCGCTAACACAAACGCGCGCGCATGCACGCGAAAATACACGGCGCGTACATTTTTCTTAACGATCCGGTGGAGAAACGTATGCGGTTTTTTCTCCCCCCCTTTTTTTGCGACCGTGAGTTCCGCGGACAAACCTGCAGCGCGGCCCGTCATCTCTAAAATTAGTTCGCCAGCATTATCTGCCTACCATTATCGCGACGACACGTCGAAGGACGGCGAGCAACTAACAATCAACATTTTCCGATATCCGTAAATTTAGCTCGGTCGTTTAATGGGAAACGTCGCCCGCGCCGGCCGGCCGGCCGGTGCGACGATCGGCTTTTCCGCGGTAGTGAAACCGATATGTCGATACTTTGATAGCGGGGTCAATCAAAGTGACGGGGATGACGCGGGGATAAATGCATGACGGCGAAAACGGTTTTCGATGAAACCGTTTAAGAAGGAAATTACTTATTTAATCGAAAACTCGAAAACGTTGATCATCGATCGAAATATCGTGATATATTTGTTCCAGAATCGCAATCATTCAATATCGTACATTATTTTCTTCATATAAAACATGCCCCGCAATATTCTTAAGTAGGCATAAAAATTCTTGGAAGGTAAAAGCTGCTCGTAAAAAAGGTCATCGTAAAATATATATTTTAATATAATTTATAGCCGAGTTTTTCACAAGTTAGATTATATTTTTAATCTCGGGAAGATAAAATGGAAGGGACAGGAAATAAAAGAGATAGAATAAACGTTGACATTAATACGATTTTAAAATGCCGAGATATGAAAAGGCGCAGATATAAAGAATGATTATTAGCGATTAATTCATTTAATAGAAGAGAAATATAGCGGGATGATTGTATATTATAAAATAATTTCTTTTTCCTTTTTTTAATCGTGATATTTCTAGAAAATTAAATTCCAACGGTTGTCAGCTTTTGTCGTGCTACAAAAATAAAACACTTGGGCGGACCAAAGGCTCAGATGACAAATTAATTAACGAACTTCAGTCGACTGCAAAGCAAGCTTTCCTTTATATTTCTTTTAATAGCAATTGCAAGTTTCATCGCTATATTCTCTCTCGTACGCGAAATTTATATAAATTTCGGCGCGATACAATTTTTTAGCGAAATAAAGATCGAACGGTAAGTTAATTAACGAACTTTATTCGGCCGGCGCGGAGTTCCACCCCTCTCGGTTCTTCCCGCTCGAAACTTTTCCACGAAGGGAAATCGATCGCGTTACTGTAGACGCAAGCCGCAGCGAAGGACCGGCTACCGCATTCGTAATGTTTACGGCGCAAATACGCGCCGCCGAGGTCGGAAACACCGGTGCAACCGCCCCGTCCACATCGCCGTGCTCTTCAGGGCTCGCTTTCTTTTCGCGCCCCGAGATGCAGCTGTCGGGCACCACCCGACAGCTGTGCGTTACCCCGGCGCACACGCGTTACCCCTCCTCGTTAAATTGAGCATCTTCGCTCGGGATAACCGCCACCTGCCCCCCCAGACTAATGTATAGACGCTCGCACGCATATGAGCGCTCGCACGCACGCACACGCGAGACAAAGCACGTGGCAGCCATAGCGCGAGTTCTATGGACTTTCGGTGGGCAAGTTAGAAGGCGAATTATGCACAAGAGCACGCATTTCGTTAAAGACGACTTCGCGAGATCGTTGCGCTTCGCCCTGTCAAAGGCGAAAGAAGAAACTCGTCCGAGTTCGCGCGAATCTTAGCTGGGAATAATTAAGGCAACTGCATTACTTCGTTGCCGCGCAAGTAACTTTTATGCTCACGTAAGAGTCGGGCATTGCGATAAATGAATAAAAGTAAAATTTTACAAATTACTTTCTTAGATGTACAAACTAGTGACTTTTATTAATTGTGTATCCTTTTTTTTTACCGTCGTGCAATATTATTTTCGTAGAGGTGAAATGCACTTTGGGAAGAAAACGTAACGTGGAAAATAGTGATTGATCGAAACTGCGCATCGAAAAGTGGAACACGATATTTAAAGACTTTGATTTTCAATATCGCGATATTCCATCGCAAAAAAGGATCGCTCTTTCATTTCCGCTTTTCTGAAAAACTTCTCGGAAACGAAGCTCAGCAGCAACAGGTCAACGCAGCGCCGATGCTTATGCAGCGACTTATATTTACCGTTGTACCCATCAGCTGTATAGTTAATATTAATAGCTATTGTTGTTCAGATGCGCGCTCCGTTTTTTTCACGCGAGAAACCTCTCCCGAGAGAAAGAGGGATCGCGCGCGTTATAAATAACATTTTTATTCGCGAAAACGCGTCTCGTGTGTACGGGGGATGGTCACACGTGCGAGAATACGAATTGCGAGAGAAAGAGAACCACGAACGGCGCGTCCGCGAAATATGACGTCGGCTGATCGTTACGTTTTAAAAAAAGACAGTCGCGATACGTTATTTCCTGCCACGAGCCGCGTGCGAGAGTCTCTTTCGGCCATGCGAGAATTACGAACGACCTCGCAGGAAATTACGCCCATAAAGGACACATGTGTCGTTCGAGTCTGTACGAATTTATTTAGCCTCTCATAGTCTTCAAGTATAACGCGTGTTCTAAGAAAAGAAAGCTTGAAAAAGCCTGAGAGTTTCAGTTGCTGAAGCATACAAATGTGTTACTCTGCAAGTCTCAATATTAAATACATACAATATTCAGAGAAAAAAAATTGAAGAAAAAGGATCTGTTTCTTACAAATTTTTTATCTGATTTTATTTTAACTGTAATTTTATCTGAATTCTTTATTGCAGCTTCTTAATCCTTTTAGTTTTAATTTTATAACAGAAAAAGCATCATAATTGAAAATTCATTATAGCGATATTTAATGATTATCGCCTTTTAACTTTTCTTTTATATTGAAGTGTCGCTTCGGAAAAATATACTTGAGAATTGCTGTATTTTTCGAGATCAATAATTATTTCTCAAGCTTAGGATATTTAAATCTTCACAAGTAATACGTAATTCGTGAAAATTTAATCTTAAAACGAAATATTATACGTCTCGAATTGATTAGAGAAACAAGTTTCTGCAAGGCGCAGCAAACTGCAGCAAAATGTATGCATAGACCCGGAATAGCCGAGCGTTCGATATTAAAAGGCTCATTAATCGACTTTTTAATTAAACTCTCATCAACTAATGCGCGTTACACGAGGAATAAGATGAGGCGCTATTAGTCCTATGCCACTCCTTAGAACACCGTACATATTTCCACGATCCTCTCTCTTTCTCTCTCTCTTTCACATAAAAGTACACGGTGGCCAAGGCTACCGATGATACGAATTCCGCGCGTGCTTTTATAATAAAAAAAAATACAGGCAGGAGAGAATGCAGATATATAACGTTGCTCTGCCGCGGCAAGGTCGCAATAACAGAAAAAAATTAACATCGGGTATCATCGCTTTTATGAGAATTACATCGATCGCGGCATATTTATGCGTTTCCGCGCACACACAGGAATGTCATCGCGCATCTCTTATCACTTGTACAAATGTTGGATGGCATAATTACGTCGCAGTCTGAAACTAAATTGCAATGCAAAAAGTCAGCTGTTCGAGCGAATGGAATAAAAAATTTTATCGAGAATAATATATCCATGAAAAATGTAATATTTAAATTAAAAACTTGATTAAAAAAAAAAAAAAATCTGCAATTCATTACAAAATATAAATCAGAGCGGAAGAAAATTCTAGTGTGCGTCGATTTTCGCGCGCAATTATTCCGAAAAATCGGTTTGCACGAAATATTTTCGCAAACACTCTTATTGAAAGAGCGAAATGCATAATTTTATGTAACGCTGCGCAGAATTAAATTCAATCACTTTTAAATGTCAATTGCTTCGACAATCCTGCGAATAATGCTGAATATCAACGGCGCATTTTATTTGATCGATGCGCCGATGACGCAAGGAAACGAGCGCATAACAAGGTACAGCGGAATCAATGTTAGTGTACGCGATCGCGTGGCGGTTCTCAAAACCATCGGAAGACTAAACCACCCGCGAACCACGTGTCCCGGCGTCATCAATCGAGCACGACCTTTGAGATGAAACGATAATTATGCCTATTCACGATCCTCGCGCGATCGCACGCGAATAGATTGCGCTCGCGAATAAATTCATCAGCGCGGCGTTGTTATCGTCTCGGCGTTTATCCCGTGAGGAACGCGATCTGAGCTGAAGCACGCGAGAGATATTAATCGAGTAAGATACACATATATTGTATATTGTTCTGCACACATGAGGGCTCGGGTCGCGTCCCGCATTCGTTCGCTCGGGACTTCGAGAAGCCTGCGAAGTGCCGGCAGATGCGAGCGGCACGTGTGCGCTCACGTAGTCGTGGAATTATGAAAAACCGGTGCATCGCGTTCCTACGCGCCCCGTAATTGGAAGCAAACGCAGGGCAATGCGCTAACAACAGCCTCATTCATCGCGCGCGGTTACTCGTTAGCTTCTTCTATTTACGGCGCAACCGTGCGCTCGAAAACCCGCTTGACGCGTGCACACACGCGTTACCAGGCTTGTGGAACGCGAGGATGCGTTTCGAAATTTTCATCAATTTTAATGACGAATTTCGTGAACTTTTCACTCGGAATCGATTTAATTTCGAACGCGATTTAATCTCGCAATCGCGGTTTTGTCAGAATCGCGGATGTAAATAAAAGGCTTTTTTCGCGAATTAAAATCCAGAATGCAATTAAATAGTAGAACGTCGTTGCGGCTTTGAATTGAAGTGGACTTTATTTGTTCTGAATTTTAATTTAATTAAAATGTTTGATATTAAATATTAAACTGAGCCAAATAAATATAATACAGCGCGAAATTGCCTCTAAAGGAAAATTTATCGTTAAATTGAAGTATTTTACTCAATTTTATTAGACGTGTTTCTAAATTGCTGGTCTTTTCTCTCTCTCTCTCTCTCTCTCT